ATCTCGCCAGGTGGGGGGAGAAATACTTTTAAAAACCACAAAAAAAAAAAAAAAAAAAAAAACCCCAAAAAAAAAAAAAAAAAAAAAAAAAAAAACACTTCTTCGTCTGCGGTAGAATCAAGTAATGCAACTGAGCTTCCTTTAGTTTGGATGAAAGCCGAGCTCAGCTGCCCAGAATCTGCTGAAGGAAAATCTGAAGAGAAGCTAACAACAGAGACATGGACCAGCTTGAGCAGCGGCGGAGGGCAACAGAGGGAGAGATTCCTGAAGAAGCTATGAAAGAGGACAAAGAAAATAAGCTGCGACACGTCATGGAAGATGGTTACTACACCAAGGTTCTGCTGGGCGAATTAGGTGAGTGTGTTTTCATTTCAGCGGCAGTTAAGGAACATTTCACGGCGTATAATAGATTACATTTTTAAGCTCAAATGCAGCCAGTAGACCAGGAAGTCTGAGCTCAAATCGTGGCAGTCGTAGCCAGGGGCGCCGCCAGGAATCTTGGGCCCCGGGACAAACATTAACTTGAACTGCTACTGCTGTCAAAAGTGATGCATAATTCCCATCCAAAGCAACCAATCAGAACCAGGAGGAGGGTCTTAGTGTTGTCAATCAAGGTCATTCACTCACTTTCAAAATGTGCTAATGGAAGAGAAACAACTTGTCATTACAGGAAAATCTGTCAAAATGATGAATAGCCATCAGATTTTTTTCCACGACTATTTAATAAAACCATCAAAGACGGAAATTATTTGGTTAATGTGACCCTTGCTAAACGTGTCTTCATCAATTTTTCAAAATGCAAAGCTCTCTTGTGAAAGTGTTCCTCTGTAAAAGAAGATTCACAACATTTATCTTAAAGTATGAGTGATATTTGTACAGCTGGACGTAGTCCTGTGAAAAAAATTACAGTACAATTCGCAAGGGGTAAAAAGCTTGTGATACTGGTTGTCAAATATTCTTAGATCCTTACCAGGGGGAAACACTTTATGTTTATGGCACTCTTGCACTTTATGCTTCATATCTTTTAAACGTTGCTGACAGGCCGACCCTGTGATACCACTGAGCTGTCCAAACAGTCGGCTGCAGAACGTTTGATGTCCTGCACAAAATTGTCATAAAATGTCACAATGTATAAGCAGCTCAGAATGCGGAGACCTAAACCTTGTGAACTTGAAAAATCTACAAATTATTTCTTATTTATTCTCTTCGCTCACCATCTACTTAAAACTAACAGTGAACCCATTCCCAAGCTGAAATAGAGCATTGCAAAATATATATATATATATATATATATATTTTTTTTTTTTCATTTTTAATGTTTTGGTTAAAATTTCAAAATGCTGTGTGAATCTGGGAACAGAATGAATATTCAAGATATCAGTCATATCATTTCTGACTGGTCAGAATGTTAATTCTAGATGTCCTACATAGAAAACTCGTCTATGTTCAAGATGTCTCTAATTCATTTGGAGACTTCCTAAAAGGAATTTTGACTATTCAGAATCACAGTTCTAAATATCTCTAACTTAGTTTTGTGTAGCGTCATTTGCTTTCAAGATATCTCCAATTTAAATTGCGCTAGTTGAGTTTTGTATATCTCTTAACTTAAAGTACACGTCGTTGAAGATGCATTTAAAGCAGAACAAAAAGCGAGATGTCTCAGATTTACTTTATGACTAGCCATAATTTAATTTGCATGTGAAATACATATTTCAGATATAATCTATATTTCTATACAATTCAAATGGTAGAAGATGGGATAAACTACGTGATAAACTCGCCTGGTTCCTCATCTTTGATCTGCTTGAAAAAATCAGTTTTGTCACTTGATTGCGACAAATCGATGATGATGATCACTAATCGATGTGATGAAGAATCGACTCGTCTTGATGGTGCAAGGCTCCATCCAGAGACTGGGACAAAAAAGTTACTCTTGATCAAAAAAATTGAAATATTTTAATCCTTTGTTTTCTGTAATTTGGATCACTAAGGGTTATCACGTTACATATGATAAAAATGCTAAATTAGAATATCATATATGATCTATTAAGAGGATATTTTAAGAATAACGTCAGCGATCAGAAAACATCAACTCAGTCCTTGATCACTCTGTGAAACTCCTTTTTCCTGGGAATTGTGAATAAAGATGGGCGCTGCAATGCATTCTGGGAGTCAGTCCAGGCTGCAGCCCAAGCACTTTCTAATATGCATAATATGTTCCCATGTTTTCCTGCAGATGTTAAGCAGATGTTGATGGTTAAAGAAGAAACTCCTGAAGACCACCGATCTGTTGCTGAGCTGCATGACCCAAAGCCGCAGCAGATAAAGGAGGAAGAGGAGGAAGTCTGCATCATTCTGGGGACAGAGCAGCTCAGCAGGAAGGAGGAGACTGATGTTCCTCCTATAAAGAGTGAGGATGAATTGCAGTCCATTCTGCTCTCACAGAATCTTTATCAAGATAAAATTAAAGACAGAGATCTTCCAGAAGAGGACGATGAGGGAGAATCCGTTAAGATAGAAAATCGTGAAGATGGCTCCATTTTCTCAAAGATTGAAGTCATTGTTAAGGATGAAGACGACAATGACGTAAAATATCCTGACTCCGAACTGAATCGTTTGCCCGACGCTGGGCTGAAAAGGAAGGACGAGGATAATGACTGGATGGAGAGCAGAGCCACCGAGTCGGATGGAAACATCTTTTCTGAGTTTGCTGAACAATTTCTTCACCGTCACTCTATTCAGAAACACACGGCACATCCAGAAATAAGGTCTGCAGCCTCTATGGATGACGGCAAATGTTTTACAGCGAAGAAAAATGTGGACTCGGAAAGGAAAGTCCAGGCAGGAGAGACGTTTAGCTGTGAAGACTGCGGCAAAACCTTTATTAGAAAATACAATTTTAACAGACATAAGAGAATCCACACAGAGCAGAAATCCTTCTGTTGTGAGCTTTGTGAAGAAAGATTTAACCGTAAATCAAGTTTAAATTTGCACATGAGAATTCACACAGAGTACAAACCTTTCTGTTGTGATCTTTGTGGACAAGGACTGAGGCACAAGCGCAGTTTAAACGCGCACATGAGAATCCACACGAAGCAGAAACCTTTCAGTTGTGATCTCTGCGAGCAAAGATTTAACCGCAAATCAAGTCTAAACACACACATGAGAATCCACACAGGACACAAACCCTTCTGTTGTGACCTCTGTGGGCAAAGCTTTCGCCACAAATCAAATTTAAGTACGCACGTGAGAAGCCACACAAGACAGCAACCTTTCTGTTGTGATATTTGTGGACAGAGACTTCGCTATAAATCAAGTCTGAGCATACACATGAGCATTCACGCCGGACAGAGACCCTTCTGTTGTGATCTCTGTGGACAGAGATTCGTCAATACGTCGCATTTGAACTCGCACAAGAGGATCCACACAGGACTGAAACCTTTCTGTTGTGACGTATGCGGAAAAAGATTTGCCCACAAACCACATTTAAGTGCACACACGAGAATCCACACAGGACAGAAACCTTTCTGTTGTGATTTATGCGGTAGAAAGTTTAGTGAAAAAGGAAAGTTAAAAAGACACATGAGAATCCACAACTGAGGGGAAGTGGCTTAGCTGGGATTCTTAAAACTGCACCGCTGCTGTTGGTTGTGAAATATGTGTCATTAAAGACAAACTGTATTCACTTGGTTTCAGTATTTTTCCAGTGGTTAATTTAAATAACATTAAATTAATAGCCTGTGTTTTTCATCTACAGTCCAAATTGAGCTGTAGCACATGTGTTTTTATTGCATGTAAATGATTTTAAGAGAATCGGATCACCTTTCTGTCGTTAAGAAAGGTGAGTTCACTGTGACCTTGAGTCAAGAGAATGTCTGCTAATCCTTTAGCTAAAGTGAATCACCAGCAGGACGATGATCCCAAACACAGCAGGAAATCCAGAAAGATCATCAAGGTGCGGCTACGGCCTAGTTAAAACCCGCACCAAACCGTGGCTTTCTGAAAAAGAAAACCGTTTCTAGTTACTGTTTTATCCTGAGTTCAGCTGGATTGTGATGCAGTTAGTTTTGATATGTTTCATGTCTATGAACTAAGTCTGTTGTGTTGATTTGATTAAATGTGTGGACAGAAGCTTGACTTGTTCATTTGGGTGAGAAAGAGGGAAATTCAGTTGATTATACTTGAGCTTTTCTAATTGAGTAACATAATTAAACCATTATCTTGATTATGTTGAAACCAATACAATGAAGATGCGTCTAGATGTCAGTTTTGTATTGCAGTTTAAGTATATCCATATTTATTTCAATCGTGACTCAGTAGCAGTCAAAGCTCAGTGTAAAAAGACACTTTTAATATTGTAGTAAAAATAAAGCAGAGTACATCAGTCTTCTAATGATACATTTTATTTAAAAGCCCCCCCTTGTGGCATAAAAATCACCGTACAAAGACTAAAAGAAAACAAATGTAGAGTGAGATGATCAGTCAAAATTCTTGTTTGAACAGATGGGTTTTTAGCTGGGATTTAAAGGGACACAGTCCCAGAGAGACCTTTGGAGTGAGTGGTGATGTCAAATTATGGTGAAGCCTATTTAGGAGGGAGTTGTGTTGAACCACACCAGTGGGAACCAGTACATTTGTCATTTGTTAGGCACATATAGGTTGCATATTTGCAGAATGGAAAGGCTTTCTATTTACAAAGGTGCGTTCATCTACAGATGGCAGGTTTTCCCACAAAAAACTTGCTACACTCTGGGCTTTAGGGAGGCCTTCCAGCCAGCCACCATGGTTTTGAGTTACAAAGTGTTTAAAGCTGACAGGAAATTTAAAAATATTACTTGGAAGACTGGAAGATTAATACCTAAACACAAACTATAAAGTCTTAAAAAAAGGCAATAGTTAAAAAAAAGAAACTAAGATAAAATTAACCTAAGCCTGGTGGGGGTTCAAGGCTTAGGATAGTCAGAGTTGGCCTGTTGTTCAGGTAAATGGTGAGGGTACCAGCCATCCAGTAACTTCATTCTTTTTAAAACTTAATACAATTAATATATATAAAAAAATCACACTAATTTAAACTGCACAGCAAGATATATTAGATACATGGAAATATAACTTTGTAATTTTATCTATATATATATATATATATATATATATATATAAAAGACGAGTATCAAGTATCTGATCGGGAAAACAGCCAATAGGAAAACTGTTCGGAATAGATTGAAATAGAAAAAAAATCTACATCATGGATTTATTATTGCTTGTATTTATGTTACATTTGTTGTAAATTGACACTTTAAAGAACTAAACTGTATCAAGATAAATGTGATTTTTGCATCATCACATACGCCAATACCAGTGAAGTAACATCTTAAAGAATCATGTTGGGCTTTTTTAAACTGTAAAAAGTATGGACAGAGATGCATTTTTAATATATCCTTTATTTTATTAAACAAAATCTCAGTAAAAACTCTTTATGAAATAGAAAGCAAGATTTCCCTGTCAGTAGTTCGCTGGCAGCTGCGGGGCCATCCGGACTCCATCATCTCATCTCCAACAATCCTCGTTGTGATTTCAACCACAGCTACAGATCAGTTTCTTTTTAAAATTCACTTCAAAAAAAACAACAAAATAAAGAAAGACAGACATCTCTGCTAAATTTATGGAAGATATACACTGAAGTTCTCCAAGTGAACAACTTATAAAAACAGTAAATCAGAAAAGAAAAACATGTCCAGTTTTAGTAAAACAACTGATTACGTAAGAGTAGCCAACAGCTCAGCTCAGCTCGGGTCGGGTCGCTTTAAGCATCTTTGTTCCCTTCTGTTGAATTATCACCTGAAGAACAAGTTAGTGAATCGATTTCTGGCTCACAGCGGGAGAACGACGACAGTACAAAGTGTCAAAACTACAGTCAAAACAGTGATGTTAGAAAAAACAAAAGGCCTAAAACAGAGAAGTGAATAGGTGCACTGTGCACATTGAGCCACCTCTGGCAGTGTTCTCAAATATTATTTCTTGATTGTTAAAATAATAATAATAATAATAAAAAAGGGAGGCTACATGATTATCAACACAAGACAAAAATCTCTTTGGCATAGACCACCCACCCAGAAGCCTAAACACATTCACACACACATACGCACACACACACACACACGCATGCACACACTTCTAAATGTTTTATTTATTTTTTTTAAACCAAAAAACTTAAAAGCTGTCATTATTAAAAATCAATTATTCTTTCTATATTAAAAAAAAACAAAACACAAAGTTGAGCCCTCTTAAGATTATGAGTCCCATATTTGACGATAATTGCATATTTTACAGCAGGTGGAGAGCAGAGGGAGTGAATGTTTTCTCTTCTCTCGACTACAGAATCCCACTTCAGGTCTTCAGCCTCTCGTCTCGTCCAGCATCCTGTGAGCAGGAAGGAGAAAATGATCCGATGAAGGTTTTTCTACAACGTCTCGGTTGGTTAAGCTCAGTCACTGTGTGTTGTCCATGATGTATGTTCATGCAAATTCATAATCAGAATCATTTTGGACATGTTCCGTCACATCAATCTGAAACCGTTTTTCTTTTTTTTTTAACTTGACAAAAAGTTCTCGGTACTCCAGAGCCATAAACCTGCAGCAACTGTGACGCCATGATGCTAATCCCTGAGATTTGAAGAATTAAGGTGGACTGAAATACAGTCGATATCCTTCCCCTTCCCCCCACAAATATTAGAGCTGCTGCACAATATATCAAATTTCAGTTTTAATCAGATGAAGATTAATAAATATGTACGTGTCGTAGCGGAAAGTGGAAGATGACAATCAATTGTAGGAATATTAAATAATAGCATTGCATTTTTTTCCCCCACAAGATCACAATGACATGTTTTACCAACATTGTGCAGCCCCAATGAATCCTACATGGGAAGAAATGGACCATCTAAGCACAGAGTATTTAAAATAGTTTCTATTCCACTTTTCACATCTGAAAATATTTGGTTAAATATTTGGAGTGAAACTTTGTTCATGTCCAACTTTATAACATCACAGTAATGTAGCAGTCACACAAAGCAAACCTGCTGAAGCTGCAGAGAAATGTGTGAGAAACCTGGCAGCTAAAAACAACATAATACTGCCATCAATATTTATATAGTTTTCTTTTTTTTTTAGAATCAATTCTTTTTGTCTGTTATTAAAACTAATAAATAAATCTAAAGAACAAGGCATCTCAAGTTGTTTTCCTGATACCATCTGGTGTAAGATTATAAATATTGACAAAATGAGTTTTTTCCTTGGCCTTCATTTGCAAAACGGTTCAAATTAGCATCGATTTTCAAGTCTTGAATTGAACTGAGCTATAGATCTAGACTTAGACCTGCGATATAATGGCCTGAACCAAACAACACTGTTGTGTTGTGATGGTCCAATCAGACTGTGTTCAGTGAAGGTGAACCTTCACCTTCCCGTCTTTTTAGAAACTCTCAGCAGCTCTCGAATGAAGCTCCGTCTTCCCTGTCCTGATTAAGATAAGCATCCACACAGCATTATGCTGCCAGTGCCACGCTAGGTGTTACAGTACACAAAGCTTTTTGTATTCAAGCCAAGAAAAACGTAACTTTGGTTTCATTCGACCACAGCAGCTTCTTCCGTCTTCATGACCTTCATATGCCAGAAAATCTCTCAACATCCCCACACTCTTCCATAAGAGCCAGATTTTGGACGCACACAGCTAACAGATTTTGGCAACTCTGTCCACTTTGTTTATCACGAATCCCAGTAGAAATACACTGAAGTTAAAATGTGAATGCGTTAGCTGCTCGTGTCGTCGCATACTAACCGTTAATATTCGTAGGGTCTATTGTTGAAGTTCGTTCCTTGAAAGTCGTCTCCCATCATTTGTCCGTCAAAGCCTTCCATTGGCATCTCACCTTGGTATGGATAGGGTGTGTAGCCGTCTGTTTCTGTAAGGAGTTACATGTTTTTATTAGCTCCCTGCTGTATTTACAGCAACCATGGATTTCACTCCACATTTTTAGAAAACTGACAAAAAAAAAAAGACCATAAAAGGAAATTAGAGAAATGAGTCACAGTTACTCACCATCTTGAAAGCCTCCTTCCAGGATAGTGTTGTGGGCCTGTCACAAGAAGGCCACAGATTTACATTTATTCACTTGTTCAAGACTAGATTAACATAAAAAGACACAACTGTCTATTTTAGTACTGATGTGTTGGAGGTAGAATGCGGCATTTAGACAGCAGAGGGCGCCACACACTCACCGACTCCCAGGCCGCAGGGTCGTGTTTGAACAGAGAGTGCGTGAGCTCCACGGAGACGCGCTTCTTGTAGTCGGCGTTCTTATCTTCGGAAATGCGGTAGAGGACAGCAGCAGCGTAGGTAGCTGGAGAGAAAGAATCAAAACGATCAGTGATCCACAAATAAATACATTTGGAAAAGAAAAACTTCAGGAGTGCACCCAAGTCTTTAAAGGGCTTGAAATGTACGCGCAGTTGTAGGTGTAAACCCATGTTGGAATCCCAACTCAATTTACTGCATCGAATATAAAATATAAGGACCTAAAGATTAAAGTTGTGAGGATTTTGTTTTTTGCGCCAATTGTATTTCTGTATGTTGTTTGGTTTGGCCTGGAGCTTTCACAACTTATTGGGTGTTAGAGATTCAGTGCTGGCCTCTAG